ACGCTTAATACCATATGCAATGATAACATTACCGGTACGTAACGGGCTGTTACAAGCAGCCAACCGTGTTTTACGTTACTTAAAAGGAGCTCCATCAACTGGCTTATTCTTTTCAACAAAATCTGATTTTCACATCAGTGCTTTCAATGATTCTGATTGGGCTTCATGCCCTGATACACACAGGTCTATCACTGGCATTTACATATTTGTTGGATCGTCTCTAGTTACCTGGCATTTCAAAAAGCAGTCTACCATTTCCAGATCCTCAACCGAAGCAGAATACAAAGCTTTGGCAAGCTTATCCTTTGAAATTCAATGGTTCAAGCACTTATTCAATGATTTGCGCATTCTGTGGCTGAAACCAGCTTCTGTATACTGCGATAACAAGTCAGCAATGTATCTTGCCCATAATCCAGCATTACACGAATGATCCAAGCATATAGAGATTGACTGCCACATAACTCGGGAGAAAATTCAATCTGGCCTCCTCCAACTCCTTCTTGTTTCTTCTGCTGGGCAATTGGTAGATGTATTCAAGAAACCTCTTCCATAAAAAAATGTTCATTTCTACAATTTTTAAGTTGGGTCTGTTTAATCTCTACAATCCCACTTTCAAGCCCGTAATACTGAGGCCCAAATCCAAAAACCCTTACTTGAAGCAAAACCTTCGTGTGACTCATATAAGCAGCTGACTGATCATAACAGATAGTTGCCACGTCAGATTATACCTAGCTTATTCTGTTAGGATAATTTATTAGAATCTATTACTTGGCAGTTCATTAGCTTGAGTTAGTTCTTGATTCATGTATGTACCCATGTTGATGTTTCATTTTCTCCTTCTTGAATGTATCAGTTCAGTTGAGTAATGAGAATAATTTTCTCCTTCTTGAATGTTTCATTTTCTCTCACTTTCATGACAAAGTATGACGAAATGTCTTTACTTTAACTTTTAATACAATCAAATCAATGAGTGGCTAACAGATCAGGATATTGGAGATGTGCTACGGAAAAGAGAAAGCCCAAAGTAGTATCATTACACGCATGCTAGTGCTGGCTGATATTTGAAAGTGGTAGTTGACAAAATAATATTTTTAAGGTTTAAGGAGCAGGCCATGAAGGGTGGACGATGCTGATACAAGGTGATTTGGGTTGGTGCTAACTCTTTCCCTAGTTTAGATATGCACTAGAAAACCAATGGACCACCTTAATGGAGTTATTTTTCAGACTTGGAGTTGACGGGCCTTACTCTTAGAAGAAATGGCGTCTGTAGAATTGTGTAGATTGTATTAAATCTAAACGTTTCAAGACTAATTTTATTCCAACATCATCTTCTTACTCTGATTCTTAGCATAATGTTTTTGCTTCCATTTTATCGATGTGTTTTTATTGATGAAAATAAATTGAACTTTTGGTTCATTAGCTTCATGACCAGCTTATGTTTTCCATGCCGATCATCTTCTTTAATTTCAATGTTTTTACATTTTTATCAGGAAAGGAAGAAATAAATGAGTGAAATAATTATTGTGTTTTAGATTAAGAAGATAACCTCCAATGTTTCAAAATGTTTATGAAACTAGAGAAGAATGCAAAATTTGAAATTAGTGCACTTATGTAGTATATTAAATTTTACAAAGGAAAATCATAATGCGTTAAACAATAAATTTATAATGTGAACCAACAAACAAATTTATAATATGTACAAAGATAGGATTGTAGTATGAGAGGTTTAAGTAATATTCATGTCACGTATTATCAAAAAATATATATATATATTCATGTCACGAGTTTTTATCACCATTTTTTCTTTAAATTTTACGAATTATAAGAGTCATTATTTAACAATAATAATAAATTGTCAGGGGATTTATTTGAATTAGGTTGTATAAGTGCTTTCCGTGTGAGCATGCAGTCAACCTATTTTTACTAGTCTCTTATCAAGAAACAAACAACCTCGTATCATTATTGAAACCAATTTTCATTTTAGTAGATCCTCCTATTTTTAATATTTTTTCAAAAATTTATAATCGTTTATATTTTTACAAAAACTCATAACCTTTTTTTCATTTAGATTTAGAGTAGTGTTTACAAAACTCCCAATACTCAAACCCTACTATTGTGATGGCTTTGATTGTCACTTTGAGCAGCTCAATAAGAATAAATTTTACAATATATATATATATAATATATATATATATATATATATATATATATATATATATGGGAAAAGTATTTCTCCAGTCACCGAATATAAAGTTATCTCCAGTGAGCTCAAAACGACGTCGTTTTAAGGTTATAAAATTAAAAAATTATAATGATAAAGACTAATATAACCCTGCAATATATTATAATTACAAGAACACCATGATTTTCGTCTCAAAACGACGTCATTTTGGGCTCACCGGAAATAACTTATATCCATTGACCGGAGAAATCCTTTGCCCTATATATATATATATATATATATATATATATATATGAGAAAAATATTTCTCCGGCAACTTGAGATAAATTTATCTCCGGCCACCCTAAAACTACGTCCTTTTGTCTATTTATTTTCTTATATTAATTAATTCATCTTTGAATGGTTATGATTCATTTTTTCTCTCTTCCTTTATCACCATTGATCCATCTTTGTACGGTTATGATTTAGTAGACGAAAATAAAATTATCTCAAGCAGCTTGAGAAACGTTAAGCCCTATATATATATATATATATATATATATATATATATATATATATATATATATATATATATCTGTGTGTGTGTGTGTGTGTATATAGGGGCAGGATATTCTTACACTGGTTAAAAGTTAAAAGTCTTACACTCAATCTTGATCATTGATCCACTTGTATCCAATGACTCACATTACTCAAAACTAAGAGCCCTTAGATATAAGTGTAATCAATAGTCAACAATGAGAGTGTAACTTATACTGGTGTAAAATGATCCTGACTATATATATATATATATATATATATATATATATATATATATATATATATATATATATATAGGATCAGGATCTTTTTACACTGGTGTAAGACTGTTAAGTCTTACACCACATCTCAACTGTTGATTTCCGTGCATCCAACGGTTATAATTTAGGAAGTCATATAAATTAATTAATATTAATTAATCATTAATTACACTACAAATACCAACCAATGATTCCTTCCATCAACAGTTGAGATGCGGTGTAAGACTTGTTAGTCTTACACAGGTGTAAAAAGAACCTGCCACATATATATTTGTGTGTGTGTTACAGTTGCGATGCAGTGTAAGACTTGTTAATCTTACACAGGTGTAAAAAGAACCTGCCACATATGTGTTTGTGTGTCTAGGGAGGGATCTTTTGACTCTTGAGTAAGACTTACAAGTCTTACTCCCCATCACAACCGTTGATTCTATCTATTAAACATTTATTTATACCAATTAATTAATTATTAATTTCAAATAAATAATAACCGTTAGAGGAAGAAAATTAATGATTGAGATGGAGAATAAGACTTATAAATCTTACTTTAGAGTCAAAATATATCTCTTCCCTATATATATATATATATATATATATATATATATATATATATATATATATATAAATCTTATTTCATACTCTATATATTTATATATATATAAATCTTATTTCGTACTCTACTTATTTCGTACTCTATATAAATCTTATTTCGTACTCTACTTATTTCGTACTCTATACATATATATATATATATATATATATATATATATATATATATATATATATAAAAATCTTATTTCATACTCTACTTATTTCATACTACATATATATATATATATATATATATACTACTCTTATTTCGTACTCTACTTATTTCGTACTATATATATATATATATGGGGAGGGATCATTTGACTCCAGAGTAAGATTTAAAAGTCTTACTCCTCATCCCAGCCATTGATTTCCGTTCATCCAACGGTTATCATTTATTTGAAATTAATAATTAATTAATGCATTAAATTACTAAATGATAACCGTTGGATGAACGGAAATCAAGGGCTGGGATGAAGAGTAAGACTTTTAAATCTTACTCTGGAGTCAAATATATATCCCTATATATATATATATATATATATATATATATATATATATATATATATATATATATATATATATATATATATATATGGCAGGTTATATTTATAATACACTAACTTCGGAGAACACTATTGCAAACGGAGAACGTTGTCGCATTAAATGCGGGAAATCATAATCATACAAAGGAGAAAAGTATTAAATGTGGAGAATCATAGTCATACATCTCTCGTTGTTGTACGTAAAGCGGCGGCAGAAATGATTTTGCCATATATATATATGGGGTAAACATTTCTGCAGCCACTTTAGATAAACTTATCTACAGCTACCCTTTATAACTATGTTTTCCTGGGAGAACGTTATAAATGGGTAGAGAGAGAGAAAAGCAATTTTAACGTTATAACTATGGGAAAAGTGTGTATAATTTTGAAGGATGTAAAGTTGTGTCATTTTAAGAGAGAGAAAGAGATAGATAAAGGAGGAGAGAGAGTTGACAAAAAAAATAAAGTTGTGGGTCCCACCTCTTTGTGAGAGTGAAAGGATGTAAGTTGTGTAATTTAAATGTATAGACACTTTTCCCTATAACTATATTCTCTCGGGAGAACGTTATAAATAGGTAGCTGTAGATAAACTTATCTAAAATGGATGCGAGAAATATTTTTTCATTACAGTGTGAATGGGAAAGCTTGTGGCGGAGACGCGTAGTTCTGGCTCGAAGTGTCAACTTTATCTTAATCATATTTGACTATTGTTTGTGATTTCAGTATTTTAACTACTTTACATTTTTCGTCCTAAAATAAGAAACAAACCCGTTTGAGGAGATTAAGGAATTCACACTCGACTACTTTAATAATGAGAAATTACTTTTTTTTTATAATTCTATATGTCTCATATCACTGTTCTAATATAGAAATTCAATCGTTAATCTTTACCTTAACTCCACAAATCTCTTCAAATTGAAATGAAGTAACTTCTTGTTATGAAAATAAGACTAGCGTAACTAGCGTGTTTGTATCAATTTCGTTGATTATATAGCCACTAACATTCATATGAACCCTCTATAGACACATAACACCTTATCCCTTGAAAAGTTTAGCCACCTATCTTTCTCTCAAGAGCCATGGAGCTTTTCTTCCTCTTCCTCACACTTCTCTTTCTCTATCTCTACGTTCAATTCCTGAATAGTAAAAAACCAATAAAAAACATAGGCTTTAAAACCTACCCTCTAGTTGGAGTCTTACCGGATTTCTTGAAACACCGCCACCGCTTCCTTGAATGGAGCACCGAAGTCCTCCGTGACTGCCCCACCAACACCGCCGTCTTCTCCCGTCCAGGCAAGGTCCACGGCGTCATAACGGCGAACCCCGAAAACGTTGAACACATGCTGAAGACCAAATTCGAAAACTACCCTAAGGGCGAACGGTTCATCACCCTCCTCGACGATTTCCTCGGCAGAGGAATCTTCAACTCTGACGGCGAGCTCTGGAAGGTTCAGAGAAAAACAGCAAGCTACGAATTCAACACCAAATCGCTCCGAAACTTCGTTATGGAGAATGTTACGGTCGAAATCCAAACGAGGTTGCTTCCAATTCTATCCAGAGCCTCCGAGAAAAACAGGGTAATCGATTTGCAGGACATGTTGGAGCGGTTCGCGTTCGACAACGTGTGCAAGCTCGCGTTCGACGTGGACCCCGGGTGTCTCGGCGGAGACGGCACCGCAGGGGCGGAGTTCATGGCGGCGTTCGAGAACGCCGCCATGCTGAGTTCGGGGAGGTTCATGTGTGCGTTCCCGTGGCTGTGGAGACTGAGGAAGGTTCTCAACGTGGGAACGGAGCGGAGTCTAAAAGAATCAATCGCCACCGTTCATGAGTTCGCTGATAAGATCATACGGTCCAGAACGGAAGCCAAGGGCCCCACCACCCACGACCAGGACTTGCTCTCACGCTTCATTGGAGCAGAGGATAATTCCCCTGAGTTCCTCCGCGACATCGTCATAAGCTTCATCCTCGCCGGACGCGATACGACGTCATCCGCTCTTAGCTGGTTCTTCTGGATTCTGTCTTCGAGGCCCGACGTGAGGAAAAAAATCCTCGACGAAATCGAAACGGTTCGGTCCAAGAACCGCGGCGGCGAAGAAGAAGATGAAGAATTAGCACCGTTCGGGTACGAGGAACTGAAGGAGATGCAGTACTTGCACGCCGCAATTTCGGAGACAATGAGGTTGTACCCTCCAGTACCGGTCGACACGAAGGCGTGCTTGAACGACGACGTTTTGCCAGACGGTACGAGGATTAAGAAGAACTGGTTCATAACTTACCACACGTACGCCATGGGGAGAATGGAGAGCGTGTGGGGGAAAGATTGCACCGAATTCAAACCCGAAAGGTGGTTGGAGGATGGTGTGTACCGAACCGAGTCTCCGTTTCGGTTTCCGGTTTTCCACGCGGGTCCCAGAATGTGTCTGGGGAAAGAAATGGCTTATATTCAGATGAAGTCCATTGCAGCTTCGGTGATGGAGAGGTTTGAGATTGTTGCACTTGATAAGGACACGTGTCCCCAGCATCTTTTGTCCTTGACTTTGAGGATGAAAGGAGGGTTGCCCGTGACCGTGAGTGCAAGCGTAAAGGGGATAGTATAGTAGCTGTATAGTAACGTGATTCGGGGTTCCTTGGTTTTTTAGCTGATATAAAAAGAATGTTCAAGTTATATTTATAAATTTTTTATTTATAAATTATATTATTTTCTTTCGAAAGAATATTAATTATATTTTTTTTTAGAAGAATATAGTATAATTTGTATAAATTTATAAAAAATATTATAAATAGATCCTTACCTAAGAAGTATTGTGAATTTATGTGGTAGTTTTCCCCTTTTATATTTCATTATTAATGTTGAACATTGCTATGGAAGCCGTGAAGCCACCAATTGGTTCGGCATGCAATTTAAATTCAAAACAATTTAATATAAGAAAAACAAAATTTGACCATCACAAACGTAGAGAAAAACACTTGTCACTCAGTATATGGTTTTCAGTTTAGAATTGGGGTGGATCCATATTAGAAACCTATATTTAATATAAGCGTATAATCTCTACTATAACCTCGTAAGTAATCCTATTATTCATTTGTTGGTCAAATGTTGGTTCGTCACTCCACAAGGAAGGAAGTGTTAGACAACAATAGCAAATAATTTTGTATACTTTTGAGATGTATGACTCCCACCAAACATAAATTTTATATCTGCTAGCTGCCAGTTGATTCAAAATTATTTCAATATTCTAAATACTATTTTACCTTAAAGAAATGCCAAAACAACTGATTAGGAAAAATAGACCAAACATGGACGAATAAAAAAAGGAAAAAATAGAAAAGTGATTCTGAAACCTGAGAAATAAATTTTTTTATTTCTTTTTTTTTTTATTCTCCGGTACAAAAATTAAACCAATTCATCTTGAAATAAAAAAAAAATTAATTTTATCAAATACTGTTTCTATTTGTTTTTATTCCTGCAAATAAAAATTAAAAAAAAAATTCGAATAGTTTTCATGCAGATCTTACTATAGTCCGTGATGATTTGCTAGATTCTCACCGGTGAAGATGATTAATGAGATAAAGATTTGTTAACAATTGCCTTATCGTGAAAAGAAAAAAAAGTTATTAAATGAAAAGTAAAATATTTATTATTTTAAAATTGAAAATTATGTAATATTTATTTCATTAAGAAAGTGCTGTTGAATGCACGCTCTATTTGGCTATTGGTCAGAAATCATAACAAATCAATAATTCTGAATTTAAAAAAGGGTGAAACTTAAACTAAAAATAATAATGACTTTGGTAAAGCTCGATCGGGCGTTTTCTCCTGCTTTCTCACCCAAGTTTTCCGTAACAACCCTTTCTTTAAGTAATTTAAGACCCTTTTTTTTCTATTTCAAAATAAACATTTTTTATGATTTTATATAAAGATTAAAAAAATTATTAAACATTCTTAATTTTAAAAATATTATATTTCATTAAATTATTATTTTTCATTTCATTCAATATTTCTTCTGATTTCATTTAATAAAACTAATAAGAGGTGAGGATAAATTAAAAAAATCAATAACTTCCTAATTTTTAAAGCGACTAATAATTTAAATAAAATAAAATAAATTTCAAGTGACGATTATTAAAATAAATGAACTTTTCAAAAAGGATATTGAATATTCCTTAAGCCTGAGATAATAATCATCATTATCTTCTAGAATCGGCGACTGTTTCCAAACTAGCTTCTTCTGAACTAGCACGGCATTGTTTTCAGATTCAGCGTGAGAGAATGATGTGACTATGAATGTGTCATGTCATTTTTAAAACTCCGAAAATGATTTTAGCTATGGTTGATACAACTCTTGCGCCCAAAGATTAGGACATTTCATCAATAGGGACATTTATCAATAGAAATATTATATGTCAGACAAAATTTTTTCTCCTATGTCAAATTCTCTTTCTCTCTTATGATATGTAATACTCATTATTATTAAAACCGGTCCGGTCATTGACCCGGTCGAGGTACTGGGTCACTGGTTCAACTAGTGGGGTCACTAGTTCAACTGCATGACCCAATAATTATATGCAATTTTATAATTTATATTAAAAAATTATAAACATACTTAAATATCTAAACAAAATCATAAAAATTTCAAATATTTTAATATAAAAAATAATAAATGATATATTATTATCTAATAAAAAATCAAACAAAAATATAATGATCGTGATACGGGACTTTAGGTTAAGAAAACGACATCTCTAACTATAAATCAAATCAAAATTTTCTGCATAGTGCATAATTGAGATAATATTAGTGTTGTATATATGTATATAACTTATGCAAGTCAATAAGCAAAAAAATATTCAAATATGTCCATTATGATTTTTTTTTTTAAATTAGATTTTTTTTGGGACCGGGTCAGGTCACCGGTTAACCGACCGGGTCACCGGTTTTCATGAAAATCGGTCGGGTCAGACCAGGTCGCACCGGTTCTGATGCATAACCGGTTCGTTGCTTCAACCGGACCGGTTATATGACTGGTTTACCAGTTCCCAGGTCGACCCGGCCGGGTTTCATAACACTGGTAATACTTCCATTACTGGAATACACTGAATATAGGTGCAATAAATATACTTAAGATTTATTTCTTTCGTGAATAAATCTTTGGTACAATTATTGCACCAAAGATTCAGTGCATCCCACCAATAGAAACATGGGAAAACTTCAAAAACCCCGCTATAAGTTTCCTCAAAATCACTTACCCCCTTCCTAAAAAATTTTAATCAGTTACCCTCCTACTTAAAATTCCTTTATCATTTACCCCCTAATTTAGTTTTCCATCCAAAATTTTATTAATAGAGTTAGATTTTTTTAAAATACCAAAACTACCCTTAATAAAAAAAGAAAAACAACTTGAGGAAATGATCACCGTTGTCGACCACTATTGGATTTTCTTCATGGGTTCAATATGGGTCATAGGCTAACGGGAACTCAGATTTCTAGACAGTTAACCATCGTAATATCTAAGATTTCAGAGAAAATTACTCTACAGGTTTTTTGTTTATTATTTTTTGGTACGTACTCTGGAAATTTTTTTGGCACAAGAAGGTTAATTGACAGGGGAAAGAGACATGCTATCTCTTAGTTAATTTGATGATATAAAACATATTTTACAAGTTTTTTCAATGAAGTTTGTTGATGTAAAATTTCAATTTCTCCCAAAAATTAAAAAATGGCGTTTCCGTTTCCCTTTCAGCTTCACATTTTGGCTTATTCTTAACATGTTTCATTCACTGCTCAACATCAGATCCCTTAATTTTTTACTGCTGTTAACAAACCTACTCCTTGAGGCGTCCCAAAGTGTCCAATTTTGACCTGAATGATGGTACCTTCACTAATTTTGAGTTTCACTGCATTTTGGTTTCGATTCTACCTTAAATATTTTTCTGTTCTATTTTCTATTTTATTTTTGTATTCTTCTGTAGTTGCTTGCACAATTAATGGAGGCTTTTCTCTCTCGTTTAAAAAACTATAAGAATACGTTTTCGTGCATTGGAATTGAAAAAAATCATGTGAATGAATTCCAATGATCGAATAGAACTATGAAATAGCTGAAATGGCAAAGGAATAAATAGCTAACATGGCAACAGAGGATGTGGCCACACCCACATCGTTTCCTCACGTTGTTCTTTTTTTTTTAATTAAGGGTAGTTTTGGAATTTAAAAAAAAATCTAACTCTATTAATAAAATTTTGGATGGAAAATCAAATTAGGGGGTAAATGATAAAGAAATTTTAAGTAGGGGGATAAATGATTAAAAAAATTTAGAAAAGAGTAAGTGATTTTGAGAAAACTTATAAGGGGTTTTTTGAAGTTTTTCCTAGAAACATTATACGTCAGACAAAATTCTCTCTTCTTTGTCAACTTCTCTCTCTCCTCTAACGTGTAATAATTCTATTAATGAGATGTACTAAATTTAGGTACAATAGATATACCTAAGATTTATTCCCCTTTCGGGTAGTACAATTTAACCTTCCAAATCCAAGTAATTAATGTACAAGCAATGCCGACAAGAGTAAAAAAAAGTCGAAGACTTGGAATTGGAGGAGTCAGGCAACTGGCTGTAATGGTATGCAAGAAAATTGTCAGGTAACAAAATGGATGGTTGAAGCAATGGAATCTTCGTGTTACATGTTCCAAAACCCGCTTTACCTAAAACAGTGGTGTCTTCTCCTTTAACTGATTTAAGGGACCGTTTGTCCGAACTTTTTTATCCAAAAGTTGTAAAAAAAGATATTTCTTTTTTTTTGAAATACTAAAAAAAGATATTTCTAACTTTAAATTTGTTTGGATGTTGTTTTTTAAAACAATAGAAGTTATAAAAAAAGTCAAAAACTACTTTATTTAGAAATTAAAAATTTAACTTAAAAAAAAAATAGAAGTCAAAAGTCAAATATTTTTTTCAAAAACTAAATATTTTTATAAAATATAAGTAGCTTTAACTTTTGTAAAAAATACTCTAAAATAAAAAAGTGATAAAAGCTACTTTTACTATAAGCCCAAACAAAATTTTGAAGAAAAAAGCAATTCCAAAATGCTATCATGGTGTACTTCAATTTCTTACGGGACAATATCATTTGACATTATATCAAATATTAATCGTTGATTTTCGTTAATCTAACGATTATAATTTATTGAAAATTAATAAATATGACACAATAAATTATAGCCGTTAAATTTATGAAAATCAATGATCGAGAATTAATGTCAAATGTCAAAAGATCCTGCCCCATTTGTTATTATTATTATTATTATTATTATTATTATTATTGGATTTAGATATGAGATGATTCTGGTATGATTTTTGTTAGCCAACCCATCTAAGCTTCGAACATGGTGTGCTGATAATGGTGATGCTCCACTTCATAACATGGTAAATTCTCGGGCGTTTCACTTGTATTGATCAAGATTGGTGAATTCCTTAGGGAAGAAATTTACTTGTAGCTGCGATTGATGAATTGGTTATCAAAACCGAGCTGAGTTAAACGTTTGCGGTCGCAGTTGTTGAATGTTACAATTACAAGCTGTCCTTGATGTGACAGATTTCATGCCAACATAAAATTTCCAAAATATCTAGCACTATTTTGCAATTTGCATATAAGTTCTTACTCCAAATAAATTGAAAGCAAATT